CTGACTGGCCTGTAGTTCCCTGGGTCTCCCTGATGCCTGATTTTCAAGCATCTAGAGAATCACTCGGATTAGTGTGTATTTGTGATATGTGATTGCCTTCAGCTCTGCTGAATTATCTCCCATCTGAGAGGAGGGGGTAGTAACATAGACTTCTCATCTAGGGAGGTCGATTTGAGGATTTATTAAACTGAGAGTGAGGCAAGCAAAATTGCCTAATACACAAGCTAGCTACGCCTTGAGAGGAGCGCTTAGAAATCACTTCTCTGCTTTTTATTAAATTAGCATTGCTGTGTTGCACTTGTGACTCAGACACATCTCTGGTTGCCTTAAATTTAAGCTTGAAAACTGCTGACGAAGGTTTGTAATTCAGTTTGGCCTTAAAGGATCATCCCAGGCTGCTGGGTGGGGTCGAACAGTTCTTGGATGTGTCGGAGATGGAGGAACAAGTTAGGAGGTTGGTGTAGGCGATGGTGTATATCTGGAGAGGGTTTCTCTTGTAGCACTGGGCTGTGACCTGCTCCCAGCTACCCATCACCAGCACTTAGTGGCTGCCTGTTGTCCCCAACAAGCCCTGACAAACCTTGTGGCTAATGCAGCCAAGCTCCCTCTGCTTCCCCTGCGTCCACATGGGCTGCCTGTCACCTACAGTTCCCGTTCATTCATGGATTTGGCTTTGCTTAAAGGAGAATTGCTTTTGACAAGACACAAATGCTGCTCCTGGGCTCAGCTTTTTCCTGCGGGAGCTTTGTCCCTCTGCTTGCCTGGGACAATATGAAGGTCAGCAGGGCGAGTGCTTTCAAGGCTGTCTCCTTAGGCTGGGCTGTTAGTGTGCCTGTGTAGGGCTCCTCCTTAGTGAAATACTGTAATAAAAGTGAATCTGGAGGGTGGGAGGAATGCATTAATGCTTAGGCAAGTCCTTTGCTCACTAATTGCTAGAGGAGCTTTTATGAAGGTCTGTGCCAGAGTCTTCACATAAAAGCCATCTCACTTCAGCTGTAGATGGGCCATGTTTATCCAGAGAGCTGCTGCTGAGTACAACTGCAGAGCAAATGTGCATTGGGCTGCAGGTGGCCAGGACACCCGAAAAGCCAAGGCTGCAGAGACCTGACTGAAGTGTAGCTGATGTGGTGGTTGAAAACCACAGGCTCCTCTCTCCCTGTGCAGAGCTGACCTGCCCCAACACAGGGCTGTGTCCTTGGGGTGCCTGGCCAGGAGCAGGCCTGCTGATGCAGAAGGAGTGTGTGTGAGGGGCCTGCCCTGGAGAGCTTGGCTTAGCTGAAGTCAGGGGTCTCTGGTGTAGTGGCTGCTGAGGAGCCTGTCAGTCTGCATGCGTTGAGAGCAGCAGCGTTAGCTGCCTGGTTTTTATAGATGGTGCTGTATTGGGAACAGTTTGCTGCCCCAAGGAGGGGAGAAATCCCAGAGCAGACCTCCTGAAATGGGTGTAAAAAGCTGCTGTATGGTTTATGTGAGGTAGATCTGGGCTCATCTGGAGCGAAACTGCCAGTGGGTGTGTGTACTCATGGCACTGGTGATCCATGATGTTTGCTGACATCATGGTCGAGATGGAGGCATGGGGGGGGGGAAATGGGAGGAGGAGCTCAGCAGGACAGTATCCAGGTTTCTGTGGCAGACATGACCACCTCTGACCAGTGTGAGTGCGATGAGGTTCCCAAAATGGTTTCAGGCTGCTCAGGAGGAACAAAATCCCTGCAGCAGTTTGTTCTGCTGGGCTGGGAGGAGGGAACTATTTGAAACAGCAAGATAATGCAAAGTGACATTGTTAGAAATACCAAAACCTCCTCCTGCTTGTGAGCTCGCCTGCAGCTTCCTGGAAATGACCATATGACAAGGCTGCAGGTTAAAGTAGCTGCCAAGATGTTTAATAAGCAGAGACCTGACCCCAGTGGTGGGAGGGCTGAGAATGGTGCTGAGAGTGCATTGAGAGAGTGGGTGCTGTAGTTACAGCAGTCTGATTGAAGAGCTTGTTAATGGATTGATCTCATCCAAGTCCATTAAGAACTTGATGCTCAGTGGAGTCGTAAGGGCTGCAGATGAAGGATTGGAGGAAGCAGATTAGTGATAAGAGGCTGAATAGAGTGATCATTAAAACGAGTAGTCATTAAAATGCTCATCAAAAAAGACATCCCAGCAGTGGACTGGTGTGGGACCAGCCCTGCATTGCTCTGGTGAGGAGGATATGAGTAGGGTACATAAATGGAGAACCCTCTCCCAAGCAGCTGGGATGCACGAGGACAGGCAGGTGACACTGCAGTGTTGTAGGTCCTCCTAAAGAGAGAAGGAGATGGCAAGACCAAGTGAGTCTCTTAACTAATGTATTTGCTTCTGTGATAAATCACCATTCAGTGTGAGATTCTCTTGTATTTGTGCTCAGCTCCTGAAAGCTGCCACCCTTCCTCACAGCTGGTTACCTGGCTTTCTGCTAGGCCATTCACAGCTTCCCAAAATTTGTTGAGAGTGTACAGAGGCGTGTGTGAAACCAGCACACTCCTTCCTTCGTTACCTGCCTGACAAAAATTATATAATGAGTAGCGACAAGAAGAAGAGTTTTTTGTTCTATAACTGAATTGAAGTCCTAATTAGTTCACACCCAAAATACCCTAAAGCAAATTACCAACACTTCTGTCTGTAATAAAGCAGGTGAGTCGTTACTGTTCGACCTGGAGCGGGTTTCCCAGGAAGGGCAGGAGGTGGAAGGTGCGCAGGTGCCATTCCTGCACTTGGCAGCCTCGCATTGCTGGTGTTGTGGGTGTGCAGTTGTGCGTGTCACCACTGACACCAAACATGGGCTCGTGTCTCTGTACAAAATCCTTCTCTGCTTGCAATGTGAAGTCTGCTTAAAGCTTGCTGCCCCTGGCCACACAGCCAGGCTGTTGGAAGGAGCTGTACCAGGACAGGACTGTCTTCTCTAAGTTTCCAGGGTGCAGTAGCAGGGTGTCCTGGCTGGTAGCTGTAAAGACCTTTTCACACTGAATGATTGTGACTTGTCGCTGCAAGACAGCTTAATCCAAAAATTGTTAAATGTTTGGTCTCAGTGGGTTGGATTTTCTCTGTTGTTTGAATTTCTCAGCTCAGTTCTCTTCCACTTCGCTGATATCCTGCTGCTTGTTGTCACTGCTGCCAAACTCTTGTGTATATAATTTAAGTTCTTCTGCAAATTAGTCCTTACCTCTTTTAAAGGTGCCTGGGCTCATCCCCTGTAATCAGCCCAGTTACATGTGCTGGTGCCTCCTTCTTGCCCTGCTTTCAGGAACTCAAGTAGTTCAGATGATATACCTGGGTCCTAGACAGTTATCCTAAATCACAGACCACAGCAGCTGTTGGGGCAGGTTAACTGCTGCCTGACTACTCCCCTCTCTTTCTCGAAGGAGAGGAAAAGTGTAGGAAAGACAACTGAAGAGTGAAGCCTTCACAGCAAGGGTTATGTGTGAGGTGGAAGTGGTGGGGATGCAGATGACAGCAATTTGAGAAAGGAGTTTGTGCAGTAAGATTTGCTGACTTAGTTTGCATCACAGCCACAAGCTTCAGAGCTGCTGTGAACGGTGGTTGAACTCTGCTGTTTGGAATAAAGCATAACCAAAGCAGCCCAAGATGAATTGGTTCCTGTCCTTGCTGCAGCAGATGGTGCACACAGTACTGAGCAGTTGGCATGCAGAACACCATGCACGTGTTTGCTCCCAGGTCAAGGATTAAAGGAAGACCTGTCCCTTTCAGGCTGGAGGGAGAGGGCAGTGAAGGGAACTTCTCCTTCCTGGAGGCAGTTGTGCAGTGTGGTGGTTTTGTGTGCTGGGACATGTCTGTTTTACTGGGGATGAGTCTGGAGCTGCTGCCTGGCAGTGGTCCTGGCCCATACTGGGCTGGTTTGGCTTTTTCCATTTTTGGGATGATTTTCAGAGTCTACGGTGTGTCCTCTGAAAGGCTTCTGAACACCTGCCTGGTGCCCACAGCCAGAAGGAAACCAGTGTTTTACCTGTTTTGTGGGGAGGTAATAGAGCACCTTTGGGTTCACTGAGGTTGGGTTGCCCCATGCTCTTGGCGCAGTGGACTGCTTGTGCGCTGTGTTTGCCCTGTGGGAAGGGTGAGTGAGGGTTTGCAGAACTCTGGCCAAGCATTTTGGGTTTTCCTTTAACTGTGTTGAAATGTGGTCATCTGAGTTGGCTTCTTGTCTCAAGTTCTGCTCTTACAGGAAATGGGCATTCCCGTTACTGCAGCGTTTGCCCTCCCCAGGGCAGGGACGCAGCTGGTGGTGTTCTGCAAACACCCTCTGGTTTGCTGGGAAGGGAAATGGGGAAGTCTGTGGTGTGCGTGTGTGCTGAGAGGTTACAATTATGTGATCTAGGAGAGACTAGGGTACAAATTCCCACAGCTTTGAGTACGTTGGTTTGCCTGGATCAGCCTTAGGTTACTAAAAGCAATAAGAAAAGAGGTGTAGCTTTGAGTGAGGTTTCTTGGGTTCTTCAACATCAGAAGACAGCTAAAGCTCCAGCAGGATGGTGGCAGCTTGGATTGAAAGACTTTCTGACCATGCACCAATTCCAGCACCTATTTTGCTTCATTAGCTGTGCAAGGAAAGGAGGTGGGTAGAGGCCCCAAAAATATGAGAGCTGAAATAACACTCGTGTCTTAAACTTGCTGTCTTTTTGCTGCCAGCTCTTGACTGAATGAGGTCAACTGCCAGTCCCAAGACAAAGATTAGAGGAAACAGGCACCCAAAGAACAGCTAGCTGTCAGGAGCCCACTAACCAATGGTTTTGCTATCGTGCAGAATCTGAGTGCAGGGCTGCCCTCGGGACAGATCTGCCACGACGAGCAGCGGCTGGAGGTGATCTTCGCAGATCTGGCCAGGCACAAGGACGATGCTCAGCAGCGCAGCTGGGCACTCTATGAGGATGAGAACGTCATCTGCTGCTACCTGGAGGAGCTGCTTCGCATCCTGGTGAGTCAATTTCTCTCTCTATAGGCAGAGCAGACAGTCCCAGTAAAGTTCCCTTTTTTTCTGACCTCCTTCACCCCTGTGTTGCCATTAGATCTGCTGGTTTGGAGGGCATGGGTTTGTGCATCCCTTACCACTGATGTGAAGCCCTGCCCTCCTGTGTGGGGTCTGCAGTGCTCTTGGAACTGCCTTCCACTCCACCTTACAGAGCTGTTCTGAGAAGAGTTATAGAACTGTTCTTCACGGTAACTGTGGTATTTACCTATCACAGGAGAACATAAACCCTCACCTTCAGAACTGAGAACTGTTGTCCGCAGCAAACCTAGAAGTTTGCTGTGAGTGATTTTGCACTCCAAGGCTCATATGAAATGTCTTCCATTTAAAACATCCTCTGTGGCTGGGAAGTACCTGCAGGGTGAGGCCTCATTAAATGCAAAGAAAGAAAACTCTTTGGTTGTCTTGAAAGTGAGTTTCAAAGCTATTTTTGTGAGCAAGTGCGAAGTATCTCACCACATCTTTGCATATAGGAGGGGTACATCCCCGTAGTTAGCAGCAGTGGGAATTACTGTCCCAGTGCTGTCACTAGCGCATACAACCCCATACAAGTACAGGGAGTGTGATGGTGTGGGAGCTGCCACTCAACACAGTGACGTGGTCTGTGTTCCGAGTGCTGATGTGGGGTCTGCTCTGGCACGCATTTCATGTTCCTCTCCAGCTCTGACATAGGCAGAACAGGTATTTTTTTGCATAAGAAATGCCGGTGTCTTTGGCACTCACCATATGGCCTGCCACCTCGCTGTGGGCCAGCAGAGCAAGGCAGAGGGGGATCTTGTGCGACCATTTCCTCATACTTTGAGGATGGGAGGAGAGGTACAATACTTCTCAGGGTGGGAACAGCTCTGGAGCTGCCGTGTGCAGTTCCGTGATGTGCTCATCAAGCTGCTACTCAGGTCATGGGTTTTTAAAATGTTTTCAGCCCAAGCCATGCTGTATGGCAGAGGTGTTTCTCAAGAATTCACTTCAATGCAGAATCTGCAGGGTAGGGGTTCTTGAGCTGTCTTTGTGCCCTGCCTTCAGTTACTTTGTGAGGTGGTTGGGCCAGGGATACTGAGATCTGAAGGCAGTTGGCCTCCCTCGAGGTCCCTGCAGCAGGCACCTTGCTGCTTTAATGTGCCACTGGGCTGAGCTGTCACTGGGTTACCTGTCAATTCCTTCTTCCAGACAGATGCAGACCCAGAAGTTTGCAAGAAAATGTGCAAGAAGAATGAGTTTGAATCCGTCCTGTCCCTTGTCGCATATTATCAGATGGTAAGGTGGCAGAATGCATCAAATCTCTCTTCTTTTTGAGGTTTCCATGAAGATGTAGAAGAGCAGGGTTGCTATGATGAATGTATGCAAGA